GGCACACCTGGGGGCACCCGGGGTACAGCTGGGCACACCTGGGATACAGCTGGGGGCACCTGGGATACACCTGGGATACAGCTGGGCACACCTGGCACACCTGGGGGCACACAGGGTACAGCTGGGCACACCTGAGGGCACCTGGGATACACCCGAGGGTACCTGGGCTACAGCTGAGGGCACCTGGAGTACACCTGGGTACACCTGGAGTACACCTGGGTACACCTGGGATACAGCTGGGCACACCTGGGGGCACCTGGGATACACCTGGGATGCAGCTGGGATACAGCTGGGATACAGCTGGGCACACCTGGGGGCACCTGGGATACACCTGGGATACACCTGGGATACAGCTGGGATACAGCTGGGCACACCTGGGGGCACCTGGGATATAACTGGGGGCACCTGGGCACATGTGGAGGCACTTGGGATACAGCTGGGCACACCTGGGATACACCTGGGCACATCTGGGGGCACCTGGGATTCACCTGGGGACACCTGGGGAACACCGTGGGGTGGGTCTGGGGGGGGTCTGTGTGCCACACCTGTGTGAGGTGCCACACCTGTGTGCGGTGCCACCTGTGCCAGGTGATCCCGGTGGTGCCAATGGGGGTTTGGGGGGTCTGTGTGTCACACCTGTCCCTGTCCCACCTGTGCCAGGTGATGTACCGGGTGATCCGGGTGGTGACATTGGGATTTTGGGGTCTGTGTGTCACACCTGTCCCACCTGTGCCAGGTGATGTACCGGGTGATCCAGGTGGCTGACGGGCAGCTGGACGCGCAGACCGAGGGCACCAGCGCCATCAGCGGCTACCCGGCCACGCAGTCCATGACACAGGTGTGTCACCTGGCCACGCCCACTGTCACACCCCATGTCACCTGGCCACGCCCACTGCCACGCCCCGTGTCACCTGTGCCACGCCCACTGCCACGCCCCGTGTCACCTGTGCCACGCCCACTGCCATGCCCCATGTCACCTGTGCCATGCCCACTGCCATGCCCCATGTCACCTGTGCCACGCCCACTGCCACACCCCCGTGTCACCTGTGCCAAGCCCACTGCCACACCCCATGTCACCTGGCCACGCCCACTGCCATGCCCCCGTGTCACCTGGCCACGCCCACTGCCACACTCCTGTGTCACCTGGCCATGCCCACTGCCATGCCCCCGTGTCACCTGGCCACGCCCACTGCCACACCCCCGTGTCACCTGTGCCATGCCCACTGCCACACTCCTGTGTCACCTGGCCATGCCCACTGCCATGCCCCCGTGTCACCTGTGCCACGCCCACTGCCACACTCCCGTATCACCTGGCCACGCCCACTGCCACGCCCCATGTCACCTGTGCCACGCCCACTGCCACACACCCATGTCACCTGTGCCCCAGGTGTGTCACAGGGCCACACCCCCCTTGGGCCCCACCCTGGTGGTCGCCCAGGTGTGTCGTGGTGACACCTGTGTCCCACCTGTGTCCCACCTGTGTCCTACATGTCCCACCTGTTCCTCACCTATCTCACACCTGTGTCCCACCTGTCCCACACTGGTGCCACACCTGTGCCATGCCTATCTCCCTGTCCCCGTGTCCCCCACCTGTCCTGTGTCCCCCACCTGTCCCTCACTTGTCCCACCTGTCCCATGTCCCTCCCGTGTCTCTCCGTGTCCCTCCTGTGTCCCTCCCGTGTCCCTCCCGTGTCCCATATCCCTCACCTGTCCCACACCTGTCCCACTGGTCTTTCCCCTGTCCCTGTGTCCCTCACCTGTCCCACCTGTCCCTCACATGTCCCTCACCTGTTCCATGTCCCTCCCGTGTCCCTCCTTGTCCCATGTTCCTCACGTCTCCCTCGCCTGTTCCATGTCCCTCCCATGTCCCTCCCATGTCCCTCATCTGTCCCATGTCCCTCCCGTGTCCCTCCCGTGTCCCCGCCGTGTCCCCGCCGTGTCCCTGACCCGTGCCCCGCCGTCTCCCTCACCCGTGCCGTGTCCCTGCCGTGTCCCTGACCCCGTCCTGTGTCCCCGCCGTGTCCCTCACCCGTGCCGTGTCCCCGCCGTGTCCCTGACCCGTGCCCCGCTGTGTCCCTGACCCGTGTCCCCGCCGTGTCCCTGCCGTGTCCCCGCCATGTCCCCGCCGTGTCCCTGACCCCGTCCCATGTCCCCGCCGTGTCCCTCACCCATTCCATGTCCCCGCCGTGTCCCTGCCATGTCCCTCATCTGTCCCGTGTCCCCGCCATGTCCCTGACCCCGTCCCGTGTCCCTGCCGTGTCCCTGCCGTGTCCCTGCCGTGTCCCTGCCGTGTCCCTGACCCGTGCCGTGTCCCCGCCGTGTCCCTGCCGTGTCCCCGCTGTGTCCCTGACCCGTGCCCCGCCGTGTCCCTCACCCGTGCCGTGTCCCCGCCGTGTCCCTGCCGTGTCCCTGACCCGTGTCCCCGCCGTGTCCCTGACCCCGTCCCGTGTCCCTGCCGTGTCCCTGACCCGTGCCCCGCCGTGTCCGTGCGCAGGCGGTGATCCAGGGCGCGTTCACGAGTGACGAGGCGGTGGAGACGGAGGCGGCGCCCACCGAGGCGCACTACACCTACTTCCCCGCCGCGGGCGTGGCCGACGGCGCCGCCGCCACCGCCGCCACCGCCGCCACCGCCGTGGTCACCACGCAGAGCTCCGAGGCGCTGCTCGGCCAGCCCACGCCCACCGGTGAGCGCCCGCGGGGCTGGGGGCGCCCGCGGGGCTGGGGGCACCTGGGTGGGCTGGGGGCGCCTGGGTGGGTTTGGTACTCACCTGGGTGGGTTTGGGGCACCTGGGTGGGTTTGGGATTCACCTGGATGGGTTTGGGACTCACCTGGGTGGGTTTGGGATCATCTGGGTGGGTTTGGGACTCACCTGGGTGGGTTTGGGA